GAACGCAAAATGCTTTCTGCTCAAGGGTTGCCATCTCCTCACAGACTGAAGGGAGCCATCTTCCTTTCAATTGGTATGTGATTGGTTCCTAGCCACCTCATGGTTGTAAAAATATGGCGCTTTGAAATTGGATTAATCTTTTTTGAATCACCCTGTATAATAATGACAACACAATCAAGCATAACACAAATGCTTGCAAACCCACAAAGGCCTTAAAGAGCCCATATCTTAGATTTTTCTCAAATTAATATTTTTCCCTGAGGTCCACTTTCCAACCTCTCTTTAGCCCTCAGATTAAACAGGCCTTTTTTTTCTTTTTTTTCTTTTACTGGGCCTTTGAGACTGCTGATATATGTAAACTTCTTCTGTTCTGATGGGCTGTCCCAGCTGAAACATTTGCTAGAACTTCAGTAACTTCAGTGAGAATGAGTGAGGCTATAGGGGATTTATGTAATTGTGCTAAACTTTATGACATCACAAAACAATGATCTCAAAACGGCCTATTTTTTGCAGCTTCATTTAGATATTTAGACATATACAGATTTAGATTGAACTGTATGGACAGGGAAATTACTAATATTAATTGGAAACTTTAATAGTGTTTACATTATTACATCAAACTCTTTTATTTAAAAAAAAAAAGCAAGAAAAATTCAGTTTTCCACGATAAGCGCCCTTTAATGTAATGTCCGCCTAGAAACATTACTGTCAATACAATGCACCAAAAACTTAACTACATGCAAGATGTGTACAAGGCCAGATTACAAATCCAAATGGGCTAATCCACATCCTAAACTGAAATTATGTCCAAATCAGACATCTGCAGAGTGGCCCTGAGAAGCCCCCAAAGCTGTACTAGATCCAGCTCAGCTGGCAGAAGTTTAGCTAACGGCTCCCTGGAGACAAGCAAGGGGCTCCATCCCAGCTGTGCTAGCACTCCTATCATCACTAACAGCTGGGCGTGTCTGTTTCATCATTCAAATGAAGACCCAACGTGCTATACACTTGCAATGAATTCCATTAGCGTTAGCATTATTGAAATCGGCAATTTACAATCTGCGTCAGTTTCCTCCCTTTCACCCTCAAACTTACTCTTCTGCTGCAAACTCTCTAATTCTTCTCTCAGTCTTTCTGCCAATCTCTTCTTCTTACTGTAGCATTAACATCAGGTAATTGTTTGTCGGCTCCCTTTTATATTGTGTGAACATTTTATAATAAGTGGACCAATAGAAATACTCCAAAATTACTTGGAATAAAAATAATAGTATCTTTCTTCCCATGAGGTCTGGTTATGTTTGTGTGGGGGTTTGTGTAGAAAAAACAGTACTATTTTATTTTTATGTTATCTTCTTAGAAATAAAGTAGCTGTTGCTACTGTACCTTTAAGACTGATATGTAAATGACCTCTATTCTGACTGGCTGTGCTGTATTAGGCCTATTTTAATAAGCAGTCTAGGCTGGAAAACTCCTTATGACTAAAACATGAATGGGCAGAACTAACCTACTGTAGGCTGAACAGGCAAATACACAAATGTGTTGGTTTTTTGTGACATCACAAGAACAATGAACGTAAATCACACAGCTCAGTTTGCATATGTGGACTGGGTAGTGAATTATATGCTTTGAAAATGCAGCATTGTTCAGAATTCATACTGCATCAAACTATTTTGTTAAAAAAAAATAATAAAACGTGAGGAAAATTCAGTTTTCCATAACATGGGTCCTGCTGAATGGATGATCATACATAAACGGGTTGTTTTTGTGACATCACAAAAACAGTGAATTTAAAACGAGGTGTTTTAAAGCTTTAACAGTAGTTTTCCTTCTCTTTTAAAGTGAACGTTTTGTCATAAATGTTTCTCATGGCAATGATGTTACTCTCTCTCTTTGCTTGCATGTTCAAATCTGTCTTCTTTTCTCTATGAATTTGAACCTGTCCACCCTCCTCCTCGCTCTCTGTGCAGCGTCTCTGCCGTTAAGGCCCGTTACTAAGATACAGGGCTTTACAAAGCAGCATTGCCACGGCAGAGCAAAGGAGCAAATGAAAGTAATTCATACAAAACCCTTAAGAGCACAGAGGCGGCACTGCATCATGGTTGCCCGAGACACCTATTCCTGCCGAGAGAATATTACCATGGCTATAACGTATAAGCGGCTAACCTTAACTAAGCACCGCACTCGCCCACTTAGCTAAGGGGGGCACTTCTCCATCCAGCTGTACACTCCAACCAGTGGGTGTCCTTTTAAAACCTGCAAATTGCTGACGTGGGTTATAATTACCACTAAGCATGCAATTACAAATGTCAGCCCTGTTAAATAAAGGCAGTGTTAGAAGTTCCAAGCAAGAGGCCAATTAAACAGAGTGTAAATGCGTACGGACGTCCAGTCAAAACAGACAAGTCAGGAGAAAGGAGGTGTCACGCTTAATGACCGTAGTGTTCTCTAAACGCAGGGATGGAAGGAAACAAACATGAAAATTGGAATCTCTTAATGGGTAAACACATACAAAAAGTGTGCAAAAATCATTTTGCTAATAGTAATAAAGACCGCAATGTACAGAAGTCAACATACTCATTACATATAATGTCTATATGTATATATACATAGACAGAGACTGCCCTGCATTTAATTAATTTCAAGTCAAAATGGCCATTAAGTTCAAGGAAAAAAGCAGAAAACATATTTAAAAGAAATTTACATAACAACTTCAGCAACTAAACATACTATCAAAATATCGCTGTTGTCAGAAGAAAAACTTGTATCTCCAAAATTATTTTAAAAGGAAAAAAAACTACTTTACTTTTACTGTAAGTCAATGGAACCAGACTTTTTGCCAAGTCATTTTGGGACATTTCTTTTGTTTCATTCTTCATGAAATTTACAAACAACGTAAAGGGCAACAGGCTTTTTCAAATTATGTCAAAAACAACAACAATGGAGATACGAGGTTTTCTTCCGACAACAGCGATATATTTATATACACACACCCACACACACACACACACACACACACACACACAAACACACACCCACACACACACACACACACACCCACACACACCCCATTTAAGCTCACCAGACAAAAAATTAGTCACCTGTGACTGAAACATACCTAATAGTGTGTAATACCTCCACGAGCACAAATAACAGCTGCAATTCGATTTAGCATGGACTGGACAAGTTTCTGAATGTAGGCAATATCAATGTTCAGCCACTCTTGCGTCAAAGAATTGTGCAGTTCGGCCAGGATTTGGTGATACCGGTCCGTCTTACTCGTTGTTCCCTGTTGTTACTCGTAGTCCCACAGATTTTCAAGAAGATTCAAATCTGGGGATTTTGTGGGCCAGTCCAGATGTGTGAATGCTCCTGAATGATCATCATGTCAATCAGTCACATTTACAGCCTTGTGAATGTGAGAATAGTCACCTTGGAATACTGGGATAGGAATGTTTTGTTCCTCGCTAATATGATGAGCAAAGGGCAAAACCTGGTTGTCCAGCAGCTCAATGTTGGCACTGTGGTTCAAATTTACTGTCACCTCACCCAAAACACCCATTTCTGCGCAATTAAAACACCCCAGAACATCACAGAGCTCCTCCAGCTCGAACCACAGCGTGCACGCAGTCTTCATGAAAGACTTCCAACACCCAGCATCATTCACATACAGGTAGAAACGAGATTCATCTGATCAGATAACACGTTTCAAGTCATGAACAGTCCAATGTTTGTTTCTCTTCTCCCACTGCATCCGGGCAGCTTTGTGAACAGAAGGGAGCAAAGGCCTTTTGCATGCCACTCTGCTCCATATGTTCATGGTATGCAGTTCCCTGCGGAGTGTTCTTTCAGAAATTGGTTGTGAAGAACCTGCATTGACTTCTAGAAGAAATTCTTGCCTGAAAGTGAACGATTTTTATTTACAAGCTGTGAAACACGGCGGTGGTCCCTGTCCGTCAGTTTTGTCTTTCCACCACAATTCTATTGAGAATTTTCTGTGCACTGGGATTTTTGCCACTGCTGGTAGTATGATCGTATGCTTCAATACACCTGCAAATTCAGCTACTTCCTTCACACTGTGGCCTTTGGCACAACCAAATGCAATCATTCCTTTTTGCCAATTATTAACATCTGCTTTGCAACCCATTTTCACACATTGAACAAGACATTCACTGCACTGTACCACCTTTTCTCAATCTATGAATTCCGTCACACACCCCGCTGGTATTTGTAGCAGAATCATCCTCGTTCAATGCCATCTGCAGGCGCCTGAAGTTACACATTATACAGTATAATAATATTTTTAGTTATATATAATTGCTAAAAGTGCTGAAATGAGTGTTTATATTATGTAGTTAAAATTCATTCTTAGGAAAAAAAATTAGGACATATTTGGGACAATATACTCATATTTTACAACGTGAGGTAAAACATCACATTCAAAGCTTTATGCAGTTAAAAGTCATACTTCGAAAAAAAATATGGGACACTTTTTTTCCACCATTTTTTCAACCGGACCCCCTTGGAGAAGACCACCTGGCTAGTCGCCCCGAGGCAGTTTGAGTTTGAGACCTCAGTTCTAAAAGATGTGAAGTCAACTTCCTAAACTGCAATGTCACGGCACAGTTCAGCGCACTTGGAGGAGAGTGTGACCGTCTGCGAGACCCAACACATGTCCTTGATCGGCCAGAGCCCAGCATGTTAGCCTTACTTAGGCCTTAAATCACCCTCGCGCCTCCATAAAATACGAGTCATGAACTCTCTTCTATTTTGAGGTCTCTGCCTCAGAAGCAATGAAACACAGAAAGGGACAGAGCGAGCAGGTGAGTGAGCAAGAGAAAGAGGGGAGGACACACCACTAGCCACTAGCAGAACCAATTGTGCTGTTCGTTGTGTCTGTAATCAACTTGCTTACAAGTCCTCTGAATAAAAAGAGGCCGGAGAGAAGAGAAAATCAATGCACCTGGCCAATTTTATTGTCAGAGCGATGCAATAAATACACGTACCTTTGGCCTCCAAGTCTTCCCACGGCCCCCAGCTGAGGTAATTAGCGGCAGCCACGAGCGCACGAGCAGCTGCGGCGAGGAAAACTAAAACAAGAGGTAAAGGAAATGCACTGGAGTTATTCATGACAGACTGGGCAATTATTACTGCTGTTATGAGCTACTCTGTGCCAATGATCAATCCACTGGGTTTTTAAGCAAACAAAGCATAATGTTCAGGACATGGAGACAGTGTAGCATATGGGTAGAACTGAGCTGCACTGCTTATTTGAATTATTCGACTGTAAACTGTAAAATGTGTTTGCATTATTTATACACCTAAAGTAGTGTGTATAGACACACCTCCACAGTTGTGTCGTCATTCTGTAGCGGCCGCTACATTTTAGGACCTCTGGGTCTAAGCGAATGGAGTTTTTAAAAATCATTGTCGCTGTGTCCTGTGTAAACTAATATGCCTCGAAGTTGATATGTATTGTCCTGTTTATTATTTTTCCAAGTGTCACTGGGTACTCTGAATAGGCCCTTTTCACAAGAAATGGAAGCGCGTAAACGCAGAGTAAAACAAGTTCCGCTGTTGTCTTACGGACAGTTATTAACCTCGGAAATACAGGCGTTCGTATCACTTCAGCTCACCTCAGAAAGGTGTGTCACTTTATCTTTGTCATAGCTGCCAAGATTGAAATTGGAGGATGTGTCCAGAATTGTTGGAGAACCAAACACACAACAATGTGGGAGTCCAAGCTAAGTAAAGTTAAAGTAATAAAGTAAATAAAGTAAAATGCTTTGTGGGAAAATTCACAGCTATCAAGCTACAATAATGTCTACTAAGATCTACAGAGTGATAAATTGATGAATAGGTGAAAATAACTATAACAAAACACTAGATAAGCCATGTTAACTGGAGATGTTGAAATAGCTCGTTAACAATAAACTAACTGGCAAAAAGCTAATCACGCACACATGCCAGCAGGGGGCGTGTCAGGTCGTCATGGTCCGTAGCGCCTCTGTAGACATTTTACAGAACCAGCAGCTCCAGTGAACGAACACCTACTCCCTGCCGAGCACTCGCTCTCTCAGATGCTGAAGGCTTTTGAGGGAGAAAATAAAAACGTTTCCTCTGAAAGCGGCTCTAGCAGCAACTTTGAAACACAAGGTTAATGTTAGCAGCTGTGAAATGCTCAGAGGCTCAGAGAACTCATTTTCCTCTGCTCATCGTCAGCTGACAACCTGCTGAAACTGAGATAAGGTTGTTTTTGCTTCAAAATCCAACACCTGAGTAAGCTGTACATGCTATGTTCGTCATCGTTGTTTTAGTGGAAGCAGCGTTACCCTGCAACAAATACTTCCAGCAGAAAAAAATGCGGAAATGTGAAAAGGCCTACTTTTTTGGTTTAGCTACCAAAATATGTATAATGCTACAAGCAAGCTAACAGCCCTGCACACTGAAATTATGTCACATTAAAATCAGCCTAATATTATACTTCAGCACTGCTATATAGCAACACCAGCTAATCATAATGTAGCTGAAAGCCTCTAAACTACTACGCTAGACAAAGCAAGTTGGTTTGTTTGGGGTATTTTGTTCAGTTTTGTGAGTAATGACGTCAATTTGGAGCACATTCCTCTTAAAACATCTTTATACAATAATATCATCAGTTAAAATTTAAATTTAAAAAAATTCTTAAATTACTAGACAAGTTTGCAATTACATTGTTAAGATTATAACAATGTTGGTATAAAAAAAATTACCAGTAAACATGTAATAATTTATTAAATTACATCATGTCAGGCTTTTAACTACATTATTGGTAATAAACATGACCTGTCTGTTATTGCATTTTTAGTTAAAATTATTACAATATCAGTTAGACAACGTTACCAGTAATTGTTGAAAAATGTAACAAGTTATTAAAATAACCAGAAAAAAATGATATCAGGCAGTTTATTACATGATATTAGTTATTACAAACAGTTATTGTTGAAACATTACTGTTTATTACAGTTAAAATGTTGTATGATTATGCAGTTTTATATTATTTGCAATAAACATTTTATATGTGTTACTACATTTTTATTACTTTTTTACAAAATTACTTAAAAACATGACATGTAATCATTGAAAAATCTAAAAATACATTAAGTTAAAGTAATAATTATACAGTTAAAATATTAATCAGAAAAAGTTATTTTATCAGGGAGATTATCAGATTACATTACAGTTTGTCCTCACATTTTCAGCATGTTTAAATGTAAAATGTATTACATTTTGCAGAGTTATTACATTATCAGTTAGTTATGACATAATTGCAGGTTTCGCAGCTGTTCCACCTCAACAGTCTTTGCAATGCTTAGACATTAGAGTCTGTGAGTTTATGTGTGAAACTCTGAAAGAACATAGATCTCCAGGACAGGTTTGGGCAGATAAGTGATAAAGTAAAATGAGCTTAATTTTTCATCTGAAAACCACAGTTATGCACTATTAACTTAATTAAAGAGCTGGATTTTGTTATTGCTACCTGCACCTCAGCGCACAATCATAGAGACTGCAATTTTACACTGCCGGCCTCAAGTGGGCACCTAGAAGCAGCATGGTAGAGTGTGATGCCGGTACACTGCTATCAGCTGGACTTTTTTCACATGCTGGGTTAAGAGTGGTCCACTTTTAAAAAACATCCAGCCAAGAGCAGCTCTATGGCCACAAACTGACCACTGGATGCAGATTTAGAAGATAGAAGCGTTCCTATCTGTAACAGGATAAGTGCTTCTTATAAACTGGCCAGTAAGAGCAGCTACATCACATGAAATCTCATCACTCCAGTGCATTTACAATGCAACAAACACTTCCACACCACTGAGCATTCCCCAGCAAGTTATTCTTAGACCTTTACAGTGTGGGTGGACCCTCCTTTCTAAGACAATTAAAATTGAATTTAGGCTAGTTCCACTGAAAGGTAAATAAAATATTCACAAGCTACCACCTTAATGTTTCCCCAGTACACAGTTCTTAAATATGCTGAGTAGAAATGCAATACGACGGCACTGAGCACCACTGTCCTTGAACGCACCTTCCTTTAGAAAGAAATGCTAATGCAAAAATAGTAACCTTGGATTATTAGTTTTCTACTGCATTCTAGACACACTTCCCAAAATTGTTCTTCCACAGAGCAGCAGAACACAACAAAGTGATGCCAATGCATCAGAAAAACACCAGGCTGAAGGTCACAATAATTTAGAGTCCAACATTAGGGCATGGTATTTATTATTACATCAAAGAGAAATGGCCACCAGCTTAAATTGAGGCCTAGAAATTAAGTCAGGGAAAGATTCAGTGCAAACTAAGACTTCATCAACTTGACAAATCTTATAGTTTCTTTAATGCATGGCTTTGGACCCATGTATGAATACCCAAAAATATTTGCATGTATGGAGTCTATATATCTATATAGTAACATGAGGGTGAGGCAGCTTGCAGTTGTGAGATGGCTTTATTCAGGGCAGTACAATATGTGTCTATATATCAGATTCAGAATCAGAATCAGAAGCTTTATTGAGGAATTTGGTTTTTGTTACAGTATATATATCTCCTCACTGTGAAGAAAACAGATGTTTTTCAGTGGACAGCGACGATATAAGAACACACACACACACACACACACACACACACACACACACACACACATATACATATATATATATATATATATACACGCATACATGCATACACATGACTATACTTGAAAACATTTTCACGATACATAATATGCATCAAAATATTTTGTTTTTCGATTTTTATTTAATAAGATGGAAATGACAAAACCTACAGTGCCACATACAAAAAATTCTAATAATAATAAAACCTACAATTGCAAAGTTCTTAATTCAATGCTTTATGCACTAAATCCAATCAAACCGGCCTTATTATGCTCACTTTGTAATGAAACATGTACAAGTCACGATAACAATAAAATATTGGCCATATATATATATATATATATATATATATATAGAGAGAGAGAGAGAGAGAGAGAGAGATTTAAACAAAAACTTTGTTCAGCTAGTTATTAGCACCTCTTGCTGTTTGGTTGTTATTCATAATACACTGTGACACTTTCTTAAAGATATTATCATTGTTTTAATTGGTGGGATTTCCATCACTGGAGTGTGGTGTGCATCTGTGACAGGTCATTTACCCCAGCAATCTCTACTGCACCAGAGAGGGCAGCCAAGAGTAATAAAGCCTGTGGAAGCTGAGCTGACCCACTAGCTGTAACTGAGCCTCACCTCACCTCAATAAAACATATCTTGATGGTCATATTAAAAGGTAATTATTGTATACATTGAGCAAGAGAGCAATTGTATAGTCTGATTGCAAGCCCCCCTGGGGTCTATCTGTACACATTTCTGCCCCCAGAGAAAGAAAGGCCTATTCTGCTGTCTTGGACTCCTAGAAACGGATGACTGTGGCATCACTGGGAGCTAAACTCACAACTTCCTGACCATAGAGCCAACAATTTCCAACAGCTGCGCCACTCAGAAGCCCCAGAAGATTGCAGCTAAACAATCGAACACACTAACAAGCATAAAATCACAGTTTATTTGTACGTATGCTAATGTATGCTAAAAAAGATAAATGCTTGCAGCCCAGATGAATAGCTTGAACATTATTTTCTGACTTTCACACAGTACCGCTCATCGTTTTACAGCTCGGCACCCGCAACCGAGGCTGTGATGGAATGCAGGTCCTCACTGTCCCTCTCATCTTAAGAGGACGCGTTCGAGTCGAGGCAAAAAATCCATTTATCAAGACAATGTTGAAGAGAGGGAGTGCCAGCGGGAGCTTGTGGGAGATGTGCGCTGGCAATACAGCTGAGTGCCTGGCACAGGCGCGCTATTACAAGGCCTGTTCCAAGACCCGCGGGAAGCACAGGACCTGGTTTTACTTTTCTCTTTTTTTTAAACCAAACCCCCCACCATCCCGGCCCCAACTCATTCGCTCTGTCTCTCTTCTTCTCCTCCATGGCTCAATCTCCCAAAGGTGACAACCAAACGAGCGGGAGGGCGACCGAGGGTGTCAGTAATTAA